TTTCATCTTCCAGCACTATCTCTTGCTTAATGTTAGATTGTCTTATCACTGGGTTTTTAAGATAAGAAAAGCTCAGCAGTGGTTTGCCATTGTCACCTTTTGCACTCTAGTAACAAAAGTTAGCTTGAATGTCGCTGCCATTGTTTGTGAAATATCCTGCACTTGCATCACATTCAGGTACCACGGGTGCCCGGTATTTGCCCTCTGGATGTTTATCTGCCCACATCACCATAGGACCTATCTGTTCTCTTCTGTTGATGTGACTGTTGCTTCTGACAAGGGTAGATGCATCTTAGTCTGGTGCCTTAGCGGTGAACAATCTGTTTTGGGCGACCCTGCTAAGAATCCAGGCTTGTAGTGAAATCTAGCTTCCTGATAGCATTTCTCTTGGCTTCTCTGACACACTCAAACCCCATCACCACATTAAGATGTGAATCCAAGAAGGGATGGGAGCAGTTTACCAGGTTTTAATATGCAACAGTCATCACATTTGGACCAACCTCCAAGTTATATACCTTCAAAGTGGTCAGTCTCTCATCCACAACACTGGCTACATTGTGTATAAACCTGTGACCTCACTAATATGCACTATGTGTCTGAAAATGTGTATCCATAAAAGCTTACACTGAAATAAAGTTATTAGTCAGAAAGTTACTAGATTACTTTGTTTCTCTGCTATTGTGATTGCTAAAACAGACTAATATGCCTCTGAAAACTTGATTTTTAGGGAATCCATCATCCTAAATTGAGCTGAGTGTGGAGTACTGCAAGAATTTCTTCTAGAGTGAATTTCAGAACAAATGTTAAGGATTCTGTTGAGGTAATACATCAGAACACATTTTATGGAATGTAGGGGAAGGCTGGAACTGTAATTACTCATTCTCAATAATGAGCAATTACTCACAGATCTCTAGTAAATGCTATAAATGCAATAGGGTGTTGCATCCTTTCCACTAGAGCAGTGATTCCCAACCTGGGGTGCACATACCTGCAGGGGAACAAACCAGGACATTAGGGGTAAGCAAAAGAAAAGAATAATGGGACAAAAAGGCACATACATCAACAATGTAAGGTGAGATACAATTCCAAAATTGTGAAATTAATTAACATTATAATAAGTGGTGGAACAGATTTCTTCATTATTTAACCTTGAGAAAAGACCCATTCCCTTGCTTTGTTATTTTTGCAAATTGAGTCCCTCCATAAACAAGGTTTTGACAAAATCTGACAACACCCTGGTGCTAAAAACAGATCAACCTTGGAAGGCTCTCCTTTGTTGGAACAAGAAGCTGAATGGCCATATGCCAGAGAGGCATAAACCATAGGTTACCTGCTTCAGCTGAAATGTGCCCTAGATGACCTTCAGCTGATGACCTTCCAACTTCAAAATAATGTGACTTTATAGGTTAAGATTTCATTAGATGGCACTCTACATTAGGAAGAGAAAATCCAGGAAAAATTCTTGGCAGATTTAAGTAGCACGTGAGAAAACTTCTTTTCTCAGAAACCACTATTTTAAGCCCTATGGAATGAGAGTCAGGACACTTTTCTTTTTTCCTCTCCCAATACAGCCATTGCCATATGATTGAAATCAAGAAAAAAAATGAAAATTTGAGTAGTTTTCAAAGTTAGAAGGCCAATGTTAGGATGACAGACAAGGGAAGACAATATTACCAATTGTCGATGAGCAGAACTTGAAAATGTACATCTCTTTGAGAGGCACTGCCACATTTCGTTCCATGCTCATGACATGCTACCGTCCTCTGTTTTGTACTTTGCAAGAAAAGATGGTAGTTTTGTGACAACTTTTCCCAACCCATTTTAGACCCTGAAAACAAAAACGGATGGTATATTCCTACAAATGCAATGATTTTCTGAAAAGAACAAAGCCACAGATTTTCTCAGAGGGATTATTCAAACAATTAACAGTTTGCTCTGTAGCCAAGGCAAAGTCTTTGTCCTGTAGTATTTTGAGAAGCATGATCTACGGATGTTTCGATCTAATCTCTCCCTATAAACACAAGGACCATTTTTTAAAAATGTTATTTTATTGGGAAAAGCAAACCTTATCAACAATGCTCTTCTGTGTAGTGCATTCTTGTGAATGATTGTGCTTAATAATCTACATTTTTGCTGCAAGGCCTGAGAATGGTGGGGGACCATCCAGATCTGTGGCTGATGGGATCACTGTATTTTACAGATCTCAGATCCTTCTGCTGAAAATTTGAAGAACTATTTCGACACCCTCTTTAAATTATGTTTGTTGCATCCAGAGCAGGGTTGGGGGAGAGTATAGGATAGGAGGAGAACTCTGTCCTAACCACAAAGCTGAGTGTAGATTCGGCAGAGTTTGGTGACATATATTTCATTATGTCCATCATCATGTTGACTTCTGTCAATGGTAATTTCAGTCTTTTCTAGTGCATCATTTGGCCTTGGTAGCATTCATTAAGCATAATTGCATTTTCCTAATGGCAAATTATATTTCAGTGAAATTCCAACTCATACAAACATGTTCAAAAGTATTATTTGAAACTGTCACAGAGTGTTTTAATATCTTTTGGTTAATTAGGATGCAAAAACTTTGTAATTCTTGTTCCCAACAGAGGTTGAGATGTTCCGCCTATCACAATAAAATTCACTGTTTCTTTTCATTTGATTGACATTTAACTTAGTGCATAATAAACTGAAATATTGTGTGCTTTATTTTCTGTTATGTGTTTCTGCGTGTTCTGTGAAAAGGAAACACAAGCAAAAATGGGCAACAAATACAATGAGAAAGGGGGGAATGTCCTCACTTCTTTTTCACAGGACTGAGAATAATGGCCCTTGAGAAATGAAACGATTGTGAGATAAAGCAAATTAATTTCTGTATTTTATGTATGAAGTTTAGAAAAGTACTGAGAGTTCCTAACAGAAAATACTGGAACAAACACTTCTATGGCTATTAATTATTTCTCTTCTAAGTTACATCTGCAAATATTTGGAGGCTGTTCCTTAGAATTATTGCATTCATTAAAAAACTAAACTGCTGTGGAATAACTGATGTAGCTTGTGGTGATGTCGTTACATTGGAAGCTAGCTCAAAACTAAAGAAATCACAGTCCCATTGAGTGTTGATATATTACATACAGTATAAGTTCTCTGCTTATATTACATGTAAGTTCTCTAATACGATGAGGAACCTATTTGCTCTGTACCACAATTGGCTTTCTCTATAATGTAGACAGGAGGAATATGAGTTTTATTTCCCTCACTTTTGAAGTAAGAATTTACCAGAAATACCCAGGTTTCTTCATAAACAAAGTAGAAAGGACTTTGATTCTAGAAGGATTGTGGGGAAGTGAAAGAGATAGAAATGTCTATATTTAGTCATACATCAGTGATTGGGAAAATGCTTTGTATGCAGATATTCACTTATTTAATCCCTAGCATGAAAGGGACATGGTGGCACTGTGGGTTAAACCACAGAAGCCTCTGTGCTGCAAAGTCAGAAGACCTGCAGTTGTAAGATTGAATCCACACGACAGAGATTGTGGGGAAGTGAAAGAGACAGAAATGTCTATATTTAGTCATACATCAGTGACTGGGAAAATGCTTTGTATGCAGATATTCACTTATTTAATCCCTAGCATGAAAGGGACATGGTGGCACTGTGGGTTAAACCACAGAAGCCTCTGTGCTGCAAAGTCAGAAGACCTGCAGTTGTAAGATTGAATCCACACGACAGAGTGAGCTCCCATCACTTGTCCCAGCTCCTGCCAACCTAGCAGTTCAAAAGCATGCAAATGTGAGTAGATAAATGGGTACTACCACAGTGGGAAGGTAACGGTGTTCTGTGCCTAGTCGTGCTCGCCACGTGACCACAGAGGATTGTCTGTGGACAAACACTGGCTCTGTGGCTTGGAAACGGGGATCAGCACCACCCCCTAGAGTCAGACAGGACTGGACTAAATGTCAAGGGGAACATTTGCCTTTAAACCCTAGCATCTTTTGCGAATACCTAGCATCTTTGTTTAGGATGGACTCCCACAAGCATATCTGCGATGGTGGTAAAATGCTGCCAATCAGAGTTGAAAATAGTGGCTTGCATGGATCTGACAGTATAAGGTGAAATTCTCTGTCTTCCTAAGTGCATGGACCATCTCATTGTAGGATTTATCATTGACCTGGCAGAATTTTTATGGCATGCATTAATATTCAAGTAAATTAATTGCTTCTACAAAAGAAGTCAAGGCTAGATATGGAACTTTGTCCCAATACATCTGAGCTTCTACTGACTGGGAAATCACAACAAGGCAATACACCACTGTCCTCCAAGCTACCTAGTATGCTTGTGGCCAAAAGGAATTTTGAACTTGAGTTTCTCCAGTCTCGAACCCTAATACCAGATTTGAGCAAAGTGAAAATATTTATATATGAGTCATGCATACACTGAGGTGTAGAACTGGCATGCCCCTTCAATTTTAGTTAAAAAGAAAACCCAGATGCCTCTGCAGCTATTAGCCATCAGCTTTTCCTGAAATCAGCTCATACAGTTCAATGGCCTGAAATCCCAAGGACAGAAAATAAAATGAGAACTGAAGGTCAGAGGAAATGTGCAAGAGGTTTAATAAGAATTAGTGACTACTAGCCATTAGGCATTAATTAATTAATTATAATTAATTGAGCAATGTAGGAACTTCCAATATTTTTCAATATTTTACTATCTATGTGAATGGGGACAATTCATTATAAATATAAAATTATCAATGTTGTTCCAAAGTCAGAGACTTGAACCATATTTTTGGTCCAAGACCATGTTAGTTATGGGTTGTCTTCTTTTTCCAAAGATAGAGTCTTGGGACTTCTGTTTCCTGCATGCAAAGATGGAAGAAAAGGAACCAAACAGAAAATACTACAAACCAAAATTGCCCTTCTGATCATGCATAAACATTTTAAATGGAAAATGTGTTTCCTGTACACTTAAGATTCAAATAAACCTGAGGAAGGCAAAGAGATCTGTACACAGGAGTTTATTTTGATGACACAAGTTTTAAATCACTCCCCTTTACATCCCAAACCACTGTATCATTTGCGCCAGTTGAATTACCATTGGGTTTACAACATGTCTTACAAAATGGATTAGTGATGCTGTTCACAAATGGCCTTTGCAAGGATTCTATTAAAAACACATTATAACACCATTGTTAAAAACAATGTAAATATAAGGGTTGCTAAAACAGAGACAAAGAAAAAAAGGAAATTTTGTTGACATGGAGTCATACAAAATAGGGCAACCTTTGCTTTCTTCAGAGTACAGGAATCTTGCAAACACACACTCAGGGGAGTTCTCTGCCATTGGGGAAAACAAAGCAGTGTCTACTTGTATGAAGCTTCATCTACACACTAGAACTCCTGCATGTGTACCAAAAATACTGAATTATTGGACTTATTACATTGGATCCTGGTCATATCATTTACAGAAAAAAAAATCAAAGAAATCTCTAGGAAAAAAAATCTGTGTGACCACAGACTTTTCATTTCGTTGAATAATATTCTTATAATAGAATGATCAATGCATATTTGAGTGCAGAAGGATGCCTTCCATTCATCCACTTTAAGTCTGCCATTTCTTAGCTAAAACTAGGAGTTTCCCAGTTACAATGTTTACAACTTAAACTTGTCTGCAGAATCTAATTTTGAATGCACATTAAGCTCAATTAAATAAATGTGGTAAAAATTATAGAAGGATATCACATATCAAAGTAAAATGAATACAACAAACAGGTTAAAACCACAGTGACCTCCACCCCAATCCATAATTGCAGCAAAACGTACAATTCATATCACCCAAAAAGCAATACTTGTTTAGCAGATAGATAAATACACCCTGCTGATGCATTTCTGGGTCTGAGTTCAAGGTTAACCCGGCATGCAACTGGGCAGTCTGAATGGATGGGGGTGTGTGCCATCTTCCTAATTTCTCCACTTCATAGTACAGGCCATGCTATTGCATGAACTACTCACAGAATTCAGATACACAGGAATGAATACAATTCAGCCAGGCTGAGACCAATTTTTGTCTAGTACTTTCAGTATCCAAGCCTTGCAATATCAAAACAGCTACCTGTTCTTCAAACTTACTCTTTTGTGCACATTTTGAAGTTTTAATTATAATTTCTGGCTAAATTTGGGATTTCAAACAGAATTTTATAGTTAGATAACTTAATAAATTCAATTTTAAAAAAAAAAAATGTAGGAATGGAAGAAAAATGTAGACAAGATTGTTTGGTGAATTTACTCCATTTAATACAACCTGGAACATAGTGTGTACCATCCTTCTTTCAAGATTAGGTCACTGTCGAGTATGAGATATGCTGAAATTACAGTCAAATGCAGTGACATTTACACCATTCCCTGTAAACGCTAACATGATACAAACAGAAACAAATTTAGTCATGATGGCATATGTAATGGAGGATGGCAGACTTTATTATGCTAAAGCAACAACACGGGGGAGAGATTAGAAACTCGTGTATACTAGTGTAACTGATATCAAAATCTTCCCCATTTGCTTACAGTCAATAAGTGTAAAGCCCTTTGTTTTATTGACTGCTACACAACTGTGACTGAATTACACCCACATCCTGTATTTGTCATTTGACTTGCAAACGACAACACATTGCTACGCCTAATGTTGACAGGTGGCACGGTTTCCCGTGTATGTTCTGGAGTGGTGCTGATGAAAACAGTGTCATTCTTTCTCTCTCTCTCCACACAGGAATTTTGCTGTTAGCTTATTTGTCTGCAAAAGAAAAGTGCTTTTTGCCACTTCATTAAACTTGTGACATTATTCCATTTTATTCCCCCCTCCCCACCGCAATAAAGATTGGCTGAGACTTGATTACTTCCAGCCTGTACAAGTCAAATATACCTTGGAATGTTTTACAATGTTTGACAGCTATGAAATATAAGTACTATGCAGTTTGGCTGTACATACATACATATTTTCATAAATACATCTGACAGGGACCTCAGAACTAAATAGGCAATAGTATGAACCACAACAGGCAGTCTTATTTTGTCGAACCTTGATCTAACCAAAAGTAAAACAGGAGTTTCCATCATGATGTTTTTACACAAAGCAAACAAATAAATACATCGTGTTTTGGAGATGGAATAATTTCAACGCAGTTGCAAATGATATGACATAAAAAGGGCGTAATTTACAACACTTAAAACTTTTAACAACCATTGATTTATATGCACTGTACTGTAAAAGTTACCCGAGAGAAGCCTAGCAAGGATGAGTGTGTAGTGGTAGGTCCCAAAGGCAACTCCCAAATGTCTTCTTCCTCAGGCTGAGAGACTTTGGTAATTGTCTGTTGTGTAAATCTCCCGTCTCTTACAACTGCATTTGTTTTGAAAGTGGGAAATTGCATCAGTTTTTCTCACAAAAAGAAGAGTCCCAGCTTTATACTTCAGTTATTCTGAAGACACTCTAAATTCACCGAGCAACAGACATTTCCATTCTGAATGGAGCAGGTGAGGAAAAAGAGAGAGAGAGAGGGAGAGGGGGAGAGAGAGAGATTAATGCTATTAGGTCTGATAGAACCAATGCAGCTTTACAAAAAAAAAAAAATACAAATTCTATCTCTAACCAGAGGAATGTAGAATTCTGCAGTTCTGTTTTGGATAGCTCAGTGAGTTAGGGAGCCAGAGGCTGTGAGTTTGATTCCACACCTTGATTCCTAGGAGAAAAGCCAGCCTATGTAGCCTTGGGCAAACTGCCCACTTCCAGAATGGCCACAGGAGAGAAGGGAATGGTAAACCACCTAGAGAGTCCTGGAAAGATTGCTGCAAGACTTGATTTGATGGCATGTAATCATTCGTAATTCCCAAAATAAAAGAGACCAAACGAGGGTTTCTTTTCTCCCATATCAGAAGCTTTTCTTTACATATGGAGGTGAGAAATATATATTCACCTGCTGTAGTAACAGGGTGAAATGGTAGTACAAACTCTTTCCCCTTTTCCACTTAGATATTATCTCACTTGACCCAGAGTCCTCATTCAAACAGTCACACAGAGATTCCACTCACATGTTTACTCCCTTCAGAAAGGAGGTATGGGGTGAGGAACCAGTCATGTGAAATACATTTCTGAACAATCAGCCACTGCAATTTGGCAGGTTCTTTTACTTTGCAAGCAATTGTTATAGTAGGAAAGCTTGTGGCACTCTACACCCTGGTAATGTATTGGAGTAGGGGGTACTGTCTGCCTGAAGGAGCAGGGATGTTTTACTCTAATGGCCATGAATGTTAATTCAGATCAGTTTTCATTAACTTAGAAAATAAAATGTAAGCAGCTCTATGAAACTTATTACATTCCCTTCTTTAGCTTTGTTTCTTGTTTTTTCTGAAAGATGACAAATGGTACCATCATCGCCAAGATGGTACAGTTCTTTTTTGGGGAGTGGGGAGGAAGGCCTGATATAAATTAAGTAAATCCATGAAGAAAATTAATTAAATAAATAAAAAACCTTCTTTATTAATAACGTTTAAAAAATGCCAGGAACTCTGTTTCCACTGGATATAGAATATTCTTAAGAGATAAATTTAATTGCTATTGTCTGCTGGAGGTTAGGACTCCTGCGTTAAAATTAGGCAACACCGTCACCTCTGAAAAGTGGTCTGCCTTTTATTCAAGTCAAGTTTGCTTATTTAGACCAGTTCATTCATTCATACTGTATTCTTGGGCCTGTTCTGGAACAATGAATTGCAACACTGTAAGTGTGGCAAATGTAACAGCTGGCAAAATTTTAAAATGGCAAATCATCAGACAATATGAAATGTGAGTGTGTCTACAAAGAACGGCTGATCCTGATTCACCCTGAGAGACCTCTCATGGTCACTGCAGAGGATCAATTTTGTGAACTGTATACCTGCACCTGTGTTCATCAAGGGAAAATGTGTGCCTCTATATACTGAGAATCAATAAATACAGAAATAGTTTATTTCTGAAAGAAGAAAACAATATAAATTACTCCATATGCATTACAATACAGTATATTCTAGAATAGGGGTGAAAATCTGCATCCTGTGGACTTATTCCCACAGGTCCAGAGGCTGACCATGCCCACCTCTGGAATTTGGAGAATTTATCTCTGCCCATCCATTTTTAAAGGGTTTAAAAAAAGAGAGAGAGAGAGAGAGAACTCTGGAATTTGGAGAATTTATCTTTGCCCATCCATTTTTAAAGGGTTTTTTTTAAAAAAAGAGAGAGAAAAACCTCCTCACATCCTCTAGAGGTTACAAGGGTGATTTCCCTATGTCTATTCCTGGGACAATGGCGTCTTCTTTTACCAGGAAGTAACCTACTCACCCACAACCAAGCTGCTTCTTTTCATGGGCCTGTGGTCACACCCAGTTTAGAAAACAGCATGTGCTAGTCCTTTAACAACGCAGGGCAATGCAGCAGAACTGCCCTCTTGTGCCACCCGAAGAGTACAAGGGGCCTTTTAAAATTATGTCAAAAAGGTCAGCCAGGTGTTCTTGGGAAGTAGCACTTGGACTCCTGGGAGCAAAATATAGCTCATCGATTGTGGTTATCTCACCTCATGTAATTTTTTTAAATGAATATTTAGATATATGAAGGAAATGACTTCCTACTTGTCTTTAGAAAATCTGAACAACAGCAAGTCCATGGCTGCAGTCCACAAGCTACTGACTCAAAATGTTAAACTAAAGGGAATTTAAGTAAATACCTCCAGGGCTATGCACAATTGCCTTAATGGAAATTAATTCAAAGAATACATCAGGTTACTTTTATTTTATTTTGTACTTTTAGATTTTAGTACTGTATTGCCTTGTGGAGCTGGCTAGATAGCTCAATGGTTTAGGTATCTGGCTGTGGAGTCAGACAATTCCTCACTATGTCTCCTGCAAGTACAGCCAACCTGTGTGGTCTTGAACAAGCTGCAGTTTCCCAAGATGCCCCCAGAAAAAAGGAATGGTAAACCATTTCTGAGTATTCTCTATCTGGGAAACCCTGAAAAACACACATACACATTGCCTTGTTGGTGATTTCCTAGCTTGTAGGGTTTTTTTTCGTTGTTGTTGTTGTTTGATCTTTTGTCTTTGGTTGTATATCTTGGTTTTTATGATGTGCTGTCTTCAGCTATTGGTCTAAACCCAGTTATTACTCCCAAGGAGAACAGACATATTGAGTCAACAGGACTTACATACGCACTGACTTGTGAAGATACCGTTGATTCAAAGGGTCTGCTCTAACTGGGACTAAAATTTGAATCTAGGGCACTTCTCTTATTATTCATAAATTAATTGGTATTTATTGTATATACCAGTCATAAAAAACAATTCAGCCCATGACGACAATGTTTAACGAAGAGGAAATTGTGATTGTGCTTTCAAGCAAGGCTCAAATGCTCCATATTAATAGGTGTAAAAAGTTACTATTTTTGGTATATGTCCATTTACTCGTTTTAATGAACGACACAGCCTTGGATAACTGATGCTAATTTACCGTAAGCAAATTACTGTATATCTGAGAACTAAAGTGGTTGGAGTGTAGGAAACATGAGGTTCTGTCAAGATTATTCAAAACCTTGTTATTTTGTCATATTTTGTGTTAAATATTCTTACTGCTGAATTCTTTTTTTGCAGCAGAATATAGCTGGCCAGGACAGAGTGCCCCAGAGGTTCCGTAAAGGGCAAGGTCACAACACCACAACAGAGATCACAACAATAGTGTTTGGTTTTGACAAATTGGTGGAATCAAGAGGACTACCCGATCTCGAACAGGCTCCTGGACCAAGACTATTAGTGACTTCTCAATAATTCAAGATTGCAGTGGCAAGTGTATTATCATGATGATGGCCAAGATTTCAAAGCATCTTTAGCTGAGGTATTGCTGACTCCATTACAAAGTAGCCATATTTTCCACTGCTTAACTGTTAATTTTATTTATTCTATCATACATAGGAGCCCAAATGTGCCTCTGGCATCCTAAGGCAATTTTTAAAAATTGTCACTTGGAAGTGTGCCCTCTAGGGGGAAGCATGATGGACATCTTTGCCATTTATGCCCCAAGAGTATTTTAATTTTTTAAAATAATGTGGCCACCAGAGGGCATTAGGGAGGCTTTTTCAGTAAAGTATACCTAAATTTTAAGTGAGGATGCAGAAAGAGTGTGACCGCACGAGGTTTAGGATTAGGCATATCCTGAAAGTCACCTATCCTCAATATACAGTAACAATTGTATACCAGAATTTTATTTTTTAAAATCATGTGACATTTGGCTGGAAATGTGACAAACTAGGTTTTTGTACTTCATGACTGTATTCCTTTGCAGGAGATAATACTTGTTGTTGTTTAGCTGTTAAGTTGTGTCCGACTCTTTGTGACCCCATGGACCAGAGCACGCCAGGCCGTCCTGTCCTCCACTGCCTCCCGGAATTTGGTCAATAATAATAATAATAATAATAATAATAATAATAATAATAATAATAATAATAATAATAATAATAATAATAAT